TCGCAAACAAGCCATGGTGGTTATTAATAAATTTCGCCGGCACGTCACTTTCTTTTTTTGTTGCAACCGGACAATAGACGTCTGCTTGGCGTAGCGAAAGTGTAATCGTAATTTCGTTGGGCATATGGGCATAGGCAGCAATGGACTTTGTTCCTTATAGTATTGGGGACCGTCAGATATATTCTGGTACGCAAAGGAAGACTTCTTTACAATTCAGAAAGTAAGGTGAAAGGAATTGAAGGAGAAGTTGACACGAGGAAGGGCAACAACACATTATGAAGCAGTGTTTACAAAAGAGGAATTTGGGAGCGTCACGCTTTAGTAGGTCAGCGCCTCCCGGTCGGCCAAAGAGCATCCCGTGATTGATTGAGCCGGCGATTTTCAAACTGTCGGGAAAACTATATATTATAATGAGTTTGCAGTTTTTGGCCTCGGTCAGCCCTCCTCTAAACTTGCCCATGCATTCGACTTCCATTCAAAATCCCAGTGGCGTCTTGAATGGGTATGAGACAGATACAATGAATAGCGGGTACCTATCAATGTACAAGTCAGCATTTTTATACTCCCAGACGAGTTTGGTACCATTTAAGCGACCCCGGAGTAGTGGAAGGCTTTTCGGCCTGGGCGGGTCTAATACGTGGTTCGATCCTCGGACAATACGTATAAGTTTGCGCCTCTCGGCATTGAACCGTCACCGCTTCAGAGTCATGTATACAGTCTGTTTCAAGGAATACTTCACAGTTAAATATATTTGACAAAGAATCTGCAATTTGTTCGCTGCTCTTGACAATATGTGCTGCCTCTGCTTTGGAGTCTTAAGATTCTATAGATTTGTTTACATAAGCCTCTGTTTACTTTCAAATAAATAATCAGCAATTGACGTTCAAAGAACAGTACAGTGAATCCAATAATGAGCGTGTACTACTCAAGTATAGAAAAATCAGACTAAAAAAGAATTCGAAAAAAACAAAGTGAAAACTGAGAGGGATGATGACTAGTAAAGGAGGTAATTCGCTTCGTTCGTTGTAGGGTTTGTCCCAGAGGAAAAATCGTTGGACTACAGATGATTCCCTTACCGAACATGGGTCTTACACGGAAAATGGAATTTCTCTTAAATGAACACAGAAGACAATTAATTTGGGCCTTGGGAATGAATAAGTACGTACAAAGTTGAATTTATAGGAAACATCGAATGAAATTTCCAATACAATTAACACTTTGGAAAAGGAATCTAATACATTTGAAAAGAAAGTAAAGAACTACGCATAAACCAATAGTAACAAATACACTACAACCAATTAGTAGAGCAACTTTCAGATAGTGAAGAGTTTCGTTGAATTGCATAGCAAAACTGCCAAATACCCACTCCAGAATCTCGTTCGACTCTTCATTACATCTGAAATGCACCTTTTTTTAGATCGATGTTCGCCTTTTTCAAAATCTAGACATTTTTGCTTTACTAGTATTCAATGCCTATGTGTCGGATAAGTTTCTATTCGGCTTTAGTTATGAGATTGAATCCGGGACCAAAGTATTCAAATATTGTCAAGAAAAGTAGTGTACACCCACAACCCTTAGGCTCGATCCCATCTGGGTCACAGCCTTCCCTCCTCCACCCCTGTACCCTTTGACATCGCTTTTGAGCTTAATAGGAAAATTAGAAATGAACAGTGCATATCATCTGCAATATCATGCTTTTTAGGATAAAACACGCTGATATACCCCGTCGACAATCTTCGCGGAATTTCAACGAGTCGTATAAAAGGATAACATTCGTATGAAAGAAGAACCCCAGGTACTTAATCGTTTACAGTGAAAATGTAGTTGGGGGGGGGGGGGGGGNGGGGGGGGGGGGGGGTCATTGGTTTTTTCCAACACCGAGCTCTAGAGGGTAGAAAAGAAAGGTTAGACGACTTCACGAACCCACAAATGTAGTGTCTACTAGTTTCTTTTAACCAAATCTTGGAAGGATCGAGACCTAGATGGACTATATTCCTCGGCTAAAAACCTCCAAGCACAAGTGAGTCAGCAGCCTTTAGTGAGCGGCCTTTTCGAGCTACTAAATAAACAACTGTGACTTATGTCTTACCCAGAGCACAATCCTTTCGCTTTGTAAAATTTGCCATCGCCCTGCGTATCAGTCTTCCTCAACGGTTTGGCAAGGAACCTAAATTTGGATTTTTTAAGAACATGTTATTAATCGGCAGAAGCAAGAAATCACTTACCTCATCCAGTGGCAGATTTCTTCATTGGGATCGTCTTTTGGATGAAAACAAACATATTGAGTGCCATTGAACGAGGCAGCCAGCGAAATTCGCGTCGTAACATTCGCTTTTTTACTGGACGCTACTGCAAATCAAAATCCACAGTATTTTATCTAATCAAAATAAAATCGAAAAATTAAGCGATACTGACTTGGGACGTGAACGCGTCCCTGCAGTTGTGATCTTGTTTCGTTCGTATAGATGCTACCCAGGATGGTCCCACGAGCTTCCTGAAAAAAAAAATCTTGAAAACGATGCTGGATGAAGTTCAGACCGGGTCCGTCATATTCACTAAGCGACCAAGAGTCTGAACTCTCTGACAGGGTTTGGGTCCAAAGGTCGCTGTATGGTGGACTGGACCAGATGTACCATTTGACCTTTTTAAATGCTATAAAGACTTACAAAAAATGTGATATTCAAGTAGTAATTGCTTTTCTCGTCCACGTGTATTGTACCCGAAAAATCAGCAAGTTCGGATGAATGTCGCTGGATTTTCGGACGAGTTTCTGTTATCACATGCATCTGAAAATACGATTTCAGTGATTTTAAAACGGAAACTAGCCCATGTTTGATTAAGTGATGACAAAGCGGTTCTCAAACACTAAGGACGTCTACCAGAATTGGTAAGTTCTCTCCGTTTTTTCGCAGCTTTTTTTTTAATTCTGAGGTATCTGGTTCAAGTTGAATAATGGAAGCAACGGTGCAGAATCTTGCAAGGGTGGGGAAGAAAGCGCAAAAATCAGCGGTTTTTAAAAAATATAAGACTTCAAAAAAGTAGAAGGGGTTGCATGAGGTGTAACTGTGTGGGTGTCTCCCACCTAAGCGTACTATTCGTCGGCATCTTACTGCTTCATTGTGAATGGTGCAACCTTAACAAGACCGGCATAACACGGCCACTTTTGGGTGTGTACGTCGGCTGGGCCGGTTTTGGAGCCCTTATTACGCCCTGCCTTGACCGTTTTTCGCAAATGCAGTATTGTTGGAGGATACACGTTTATCCTAGGGGAAATATCAAAAACCCTGCTTGTGGTGAACCTTGCCTTTGATTTCAAAAAATCCAAAAACGATGCCAAATTTTTTAGTATTAGTCAAAAACATTAAGTAAAATAAATACGTACAGTGACAGACAGCCCCTCGGCATGTTGTACAACAACGGCTCGGTCTGTATATGTGGCGGAATCGATCCATGGGTCCGAAGACATGGATCTGCCTGAAATTGGAAGATTGACCACATCCACTCGTGTGGAGTAACTAGGAGGGAATCACCGGTTCCACAGTAGGACCGTGTTCCAAACTATATACTCCCGCTTTGTAAAAATTGAGGCAATTCTTTGAAATGGCCCGACGCAAATAGCAAATAAAGCATTTCGGTGAACAAGCGAAGGAAAACTAAAAACGCCTACCCATGTCGATATGGAGTGCTTTTCCGTCATTGTTGTTCAACACAAAGTAATTAGCATCGAATGCTGTGTAGTAGGTCTGTTCAAGGCAATTGGTGAAGTACACATTCTGAAATTACAAGTTCGCAAAGCTCTCTTCAGTAAAATTTTCTGAAGTAAGCATACGGGCCTACGGAATAGGTAGGGGATCTACTGAACTATATGTCAGTAGTATTCTGTTGTGCTAAAGAATAATGTCTTTGAGTTAAATTAATCCTGTCTGAGGGATACGCCACGCATTTGACTTCCAGTTGGAATCGTAGTGGCCTTTTCAATGGTTATGTGGACTATACAATGAATTGGGGTGGTCGACCGGTGTGCAAGCCAGTGCTTCTATCCACCCAGACGAGTCTGGCACCAAATAGCCAACCCATGAGGGATGGAAGGCTTGGCTAGCATAGGCGGATATCAATCCGGGGTTCGAGTCCGTGACCATGCGCATGCGAAGGTACGCCACTTGCCACTACACCACCTCCGCTCTTGTCGTATTCCATTAACCCTTTAACTGAACCTTTATGCTCCTTCACCTTTCTTGAGGTTTGAGTAGCTGGTCAGTTCGGTGATCGTATACGTAGGATGTCTAGAGGGTAAGTAGGACGATTTTGATTCGGGAGAGAATTCAGGGATATATGGTCATTACCGCTGCTAAATCGTTGGGGTAACGTAGTTGATGAAAAAAGGCTGAAGATGCTTCGCTGTGGATCCCAAACCTTTCTTCGGCTTAATGGGTTCATTTTTTGGAATCATCTCACGAAGAAAGTGTTGTAAAGAAGGGAAATGAAATGAATCAATAAAAACTGCGTACAATGAAATAAAATAAATACAAAAAAGATTTAATCTATATAAAAAAGTAGTTAAACTGTATAGGGGCTCATACCTACATGGGCTTGGCGAATATTAATCGATCCTCGTCTGATGTCCCATTCACCGTCAACAAAACGGAACCATCCGAGCTTTTCCAACGAAGTCTCCCCAATGTCGTTCATAATCACGTAACCGTAAACTTCCGAATCACCTGTAGGGAAAATGAGAAGAATAGCCTAGGAATGGCACGAAAAAATGGTGAGGGGTCCGTACTGATAATAAGGAGAGAACGATTGGGTTCCAAGATATCGCTGTTTTCTAGTCACTATATCAGTACAACATCAGGTCCATTCAACTCTTGACCCGCTATGATCAGCTTTTCTAAGAAGGAATACCCTAAGGAAAAAGTCCTCACCATTTTCAATGTAGTACATGCCGGGTTGCATTTCTCGAAAAGCCCGATTAGCGGTGACTTCAAGTCTCATTTTGTGTCGTCGGTGATGGCTCCAAGAGGAGTAACCCTGATTCAGGAAGACCGGTACGATCTCCTCTAATAAGGAACTCCAGTTGCCGTCTGTTGAAGGCTCATGTACGCGATACCTGGAATATCCTTCGATGGTTATCACTGTGCTCTGGTCATTGAACCGGTAAATGGAGCAAGCGACAGTATGAAGACTGAATGGTCATGGTGAGGTGAGGGGGATAAAGTCCAGGGTAGCCTCGCTGGAAGTGACTCCGTCGGTTCCCGACTAAACCGGAATGCCAAGCGAAACCCTGACCCCTAGACTGATTGAAGTGCAGGGTTGGCCGAGTGGTTGGGAGTGGTTGTTTATGTGTTTACATAGAAAGGAGCGCGAGTTCGATCACTGTAAAGGCAAAAACCATGCCTCGAAACAGTTGCATAGGGACGACGAGCATGGGGCATAGTAGGGGTAGGTGGGGAGCGGTTACTATTTATAAAGGTTTTCAGATCATGGAATCAATGGTTCATACTACAAAACCGTTACCTGAACACGGCCAGAGTTGCGGGTTGGCCGAGTTTTATCGCAGTGAAACTCCGATTTTCATATGAGTCGAAACGAATTTCACAACACTGCTCGCTTCTCTCGTTACTTTTACAACCGATACTCCGGGGTATTGATTGGTATGTGCGATAGCAGAGTGAACCCACATAGCACTTTCTAAAAAAANAAAAAAACGAATTGATGAATAAGTCAAGTATCGGCATGGGACAATGATTCATCCACCTGTAACTGTAGTCACGGATATTGCACTTATGGCTTCTGCCAGAACAACCACAGAAGCACGAGGTACTAAGAAGTGGTACGGCAAATACGTAGGCTCCTGAAACCACGAAAAAACTTAGGATAATGGGAGTTTCTCTCAAAAATGGGGGTTCAGGCAAGGGAGCCCTAGCAAGCCTACGAGAGCCTAAGACTCGAGAAACGTTCGAAAGACTCCTGCTTGGCACGAATAAGGTCAAAATCGTTATATGAGCGAATTCAACGGACATTTGATTATTTATTGTTCTGTTGACTTTCATGGTTTTCTTTCAAAGATTCTGGAAAGTTGAAAAGGTACTTTCCTTCTGTCAGCTGTTAAAAAAGCATTTTTTAAGAGATCATTCCAGTGTTTAGGAGTTTCAACGGTCGACTGGGAAACCTTCAAATTTCGGATGGTTAGGATAAACTTACCTGTAACTGGGTAGTGCTGCTCTAATTTTGAGAATTCGAATGAATGCATGGCACTGTACGAGCTGTTCGCTACCTGAATCAGGGACAGCGGTGACCTTTTGTTACTTTTTGATTTCAACTATATGGATAGGTAAATCGACCACCTCCAGTTTAATGCAAGCTGTTTCATGGAGAGACATAGCCAGCCTGGTTGAACTACGTATTTCAGCTGATCCTTTCGAATCATAGATGCGTACCTGGAACAAGCCCCAGAGAAGTTACTAGTATCCGCAGTATTGGGTTTGTGGGGCCATGAACACCAGCAGTAGAAAAGCTGTGAACCTTTCTAGAAACGCCTCTTTCCAAAAATCAAAAAGAAAGTGAAAAAAAGTTTTTCATGTCAAAACTTCTTACTTTTCCCTCCATTACTACATTGTTCTGGCAGTGTAAAGGTTCCGCATCAACCAGGGGAAGGTTCCATAGCAGTGCGATGGTCCCAATCCAAAGCAGCATCAAGGATGCGACAAAGCGCACTATAAATGCGACTAACTGTGAATATGTCATTACAACTGTAGTAAATAACCGAAAAACCTCACCTATTCCTCGAAAAAATCAGTTTGCCCAGTCCGTTAGGTTTCCTGGCAACTGTTATGCACGACGAATGGGACAGAAAAGGTGTCATGTGCTGATAAGAAGTCGTTGTGAAATTTCGAACTGATTAAATTCCAAGGGAAGCCAATTAAAAGTCGGCTCTATCATATTTCATACTACATAAAAACAAGAAATAACTTCGTAGCTTCTTGGCATCGATCTTGCTTGTTTGGGATACGCCTAGCGTTTAACTTCTAATCATAACCACATCACGCTTAGGTTTCGAAGGCCCATGTGGCCTAGGTATTAGGACCCTGCGACGGCGCAGGATTAACGTTAGGGAGAAAAAGA